GACAGCGCCGACTCCTCGTACAGCCGAGCCCATCTTTTCAGAATGATGGATGGGGCAGCGCTTGCGCGCGGGACGGGGGGCCTGCCACCGCCTCAAGCCCTAAGCAAAGCAAAGCAAAGAGAGAGAGAGAGGTCAGAGAGACCCCAAAGCCACCCATTCAATAACAATTGAGTGGTTGGGCGGGCCAATGGCCTGAGGGTCGGGGATGCCGACCCCTAAGCCCAGCAGAAAGAAAGAAAGAGAGAGAGAGAGAGAGATATGTTTTTGCCGACTACAGCTCTATTTTGAGCTTTCTCTCCAACTTTGCTAGACACAGGGATTTCCCCCCTCTTTCTCCACTTTCTGTACCATAGTTGACGGGCCGCTGAAGCCTCCAAAAACCGCGCATTTCCTGCCTCCTACCGAGCTGAATTGAACAGGTCTCCAATGGAGTTGTTTTTGGTCTTAGTTCCTGCGTTGCTGCGGTCCGCTGTGTGTGTTTTTGTTGCTGCCCTTGTCAAACCTGTTTCAGCCAGCCAAGCAGTACGTAGGCAAACCGAACCAAGGGGGGAACCCCTCCTCGCAGCCTGGTGTAGCGAGCTAGTTTGTCTTGTTTACCCTGTCGCAATGGGGGAAACCCCCAAAAACTCTGCTTGGACATGCAAGTGCACGTGCACATGCGCAGGGGTGGGTTTCTTACCTGCCTCTTCTGCCCTGGTAGAGAGAGAAAGAGAGAGAGAGAGAGAGAGAGAGACGCAAGATAACCTGGCTCTGACCTTGAGCAAAGCAAAGAGAGACACAAGATGCCTGGGGGTGCTTTCGTTCTTTTTGCGCGATCCCTGCCTTTGTTGCGCATGCTACCCGCAACCCGCAACTGTCGGGGTCGCACATGCGCGCGGGCAAGGGGGTAAGTCCTTGTCCCTAACCCTGGCAAAAGAGAGAGACTCGAGACTTCCTACTTGCAGTTGCCTCACATGTTTGGTTGGCCCGGTTGCCAGATATTTATACTTGTTTATTGCAGATTATATTGTTCCTGGTTAAAGAGGGGTTACTGCCTCTATCTGCGATTCTCATGATAGCGAGTGTACCCCTTCTGCTTCCCTTGCACTATGGGGGGCGCCTCGAGCGCAGGGGTGCGGGCTGCACCCCTCCTCTTACCCTTGCGAAAGAAAGTGCGAGAGCGAGAGATACACGACACGCCCGCGTGAGCCCCCTTGCCTTTAACCGCTGAACTGTGTGCGCGCCTGGCCCTGAATCTCGCTTTCCGGATTACAGCCTTTTACAGCCCTATGTGTGTCCAGGCCGCGGCGGCTCAGAGCAGCTGGTGGCGGACTTAGCTCGGGCGCCTTTGGATCGTTCCAGGGCCCTGGAAGGGTTTGAGATGCTTGGCTTGTACCCGCCAGCTCCCCCTTGTCAGGCGATTTTCGGTAGCGAGCGCTCGAGGCGTGGTGCTGAGCTCAAGGCCGTCGCAGCCCGGAGTCAGAATCAGGGGGGAGCAAAGGAGCCAAAGTGGGTTTCAGAGGGCAAGCAGGCTAACGGGGACACTTCAGAGCCTTAGAAGGCTTGTGACCGAATCCTCTGCCGCAGGTGATGAGTGCTGTGGAGACTAAAGCTCCTGGAACTTTCACTCGCGGCATCCGCGAGAAGTTCAGTGACGAGAAGGCTGGGCTGAGCATCGCATCGTCAGGTTTGTTGGGGTGATAGCAGCGACACGGCAGTTGTGCTTGTCGATGTGGTCCTGGGCCTGGCGCAGGGCTTCTCCACAGACCGCATGATCTTCAGGGACGATGAGTTGAGCTATGCTCTAGGCCGCAGTCGGGAGAAAGGGGTTCGGCTTCCCAAAGCTTGAAAACAACACCGTGCCCGTTCTGAAAACCCAACCCTGCCAGCTCCCCTTACCAGAGGGGTCGAGACGAGAGCGCCGATTTGTTTAGCAGATATTGGCAGTACGCAGAGGTTGGACAGGTCAGCGGTTTGTTCGCAGACTCAGGGCGCATGACGCCTTAGTTTCAGACAGGCAGCTCTGCATGTCAAGCCAGCTTGTGTAGGCTGGTGGTAGACGGTCACGCCGGAAGCGGGCAACAGTGAGGGATACTGTAACAGGAAATATGCAGAGTATTCCGAGGGTGAGCGTAATCAGATGGAGATACAGCCGCACAAGCGATGACCAGTTCTTTGAATTGTCGTGTTGGCCAGGAAAAGAAGGCATGACCCTCAGACGACGTGCTCGCGCCACAAGTCCTAGACGGGGTCTTGCGCTTGTCATCGTTTTGAAATTGCTCTTTTTGTTTGGCGGTCAGCGCAGGTCGCGCTAGGCTTCGCCCCTCTGCAGTTTCTCAGTGGCTGTCAAGTCCTGCTTCCGGCTTCACCTCGCTTAGCCACAAGTCTAGCCGGAGATCGTCACGTGTGGTGTGCGTGGACAGCTGCTGATTCGATGTCAATTCCCAGGCTCCACCAGGAAGAAGTTGGCTCTAGCAGCCAATGCCAGCGCCCTGAGCTATTCGCATGACACGGTCTGTAACACTGAGTTTCACGTGCTTGATGTGCGGGGCTCAGCCCTGGCCGTCTCAGCATCGGTTTGAGTCGTAGACTTGTCGTAGACTCCTAGTTCGGAGCACTTTGAAACGGGCTTTGAAACCTATTAATCCTCTCGGCTTGAGCACGTGAGAGCCCGCTGCCCCATGAAACCTAGCGATGTGTCTGAGCCGTGCATGGAGGACACCGAGGTATCCTTGCAGGAGCTTGGCGCCCAAACTGCCGCGGTGTCGTCATGCTGCGTCTTCTGCAAGGTACCGTTTAAGGACATGGTGTTGCGAGTCGGGCGGCGCTACGAGGTCAAGGTCCTTCACTGCCTTCATTCGGCGTGTGGCAGATGTCTCGAAGAGATCCTCACCACAGGTCAGGAGGTTTTGTGCCCTGTGTGCGACCACCGGATCAAAGAGCAGGACTACCACAAGTACCTTTGCAACTTCGCAGAAAACCAGACTCTGGACTACCGGGCCGCGGGTTTCACCTCCACGCCGCTGATCACCTGTGACGAATGCGTAGATGCAGGTCCAGCCGTACAGTACTGTGCACGCTGCGTGCGGAGGCTCTGCGCCGAGTGCGCGGAGCACCACCGACGTTCGAGAGCCTCGGCCTCCCACGCGCTGACGGAGTTGACCGCCATGGCAGAGGCGGCAGAGAAGGCGGAGGCAAAGGAGTTGACGGAGGACTCCCAGCGCTCCTCGTCCCGCTCGTCGCCTTCATCACTTTCCCTGCACCGGCTTCCCCTCTGTGCAATCCATCGACGAGAGTTGGAGTTCTTCTGTGAAGACTGCAGCATGATGTGCTGTCGTGAATGCATACGAGAATCGCACGAGACCCACGTCTACAAGCTCCCCTCAGGCAGTCTTGTGGAGAGGCAGCGACAGGGGCTTTCCGAGAATGCGCAGCAACTGCAGGGCCTCTTCTCATCGCTCCAGGAGCGACGCAGGACGCTGTCAGAGAACCTGCAGAGCTGCGAAGCTGAGTTGGCGAAGGCGTTACAGAACATCCGACACTTGGAGGGGCAGGTGAAGGAGGCCCTGCAGCAACGGCGGATCCAGATGCTAGATGAGGTGAAGGCATTTCGAGACCAACAACGCGAGTCACACGAGGCACGTCGGGCCTCGCTGGCCTCGCAGCTGCTCACCAGGCCTGGGCTCAATTCCTTCTCTTCTAATGTGGCGTTGACGAATTCCGCCCAGTCCAGGTGGCGAGCCATCGACTTCCTGGAGAAGGTCCTTGCTCGTGGCACGAATTGCGAGGTGCTGCTTCTGACGGGCCGCTTGGCTCGCTTTGAGTTTTTCAGTGGGGCCATCTCCACTACATGCTCTTGTCGAGGCATGTGTGTCATGCGCTATTACACATAATATTCAGTGACAGGCTACATCTCGGCACAGCGGTTGCTGGGGCAAGACGTGCTGGCCTCGAAGGTCGCAGAGCTGGCACTCTGCGCCGCTCTGCGGCCCAAGCAGCTTCCCGTGAAGTGGTCAGGCGACGTGGCTGCTGCGGCCCACGAGATCTCGCAGATGGCGGCGGTGAGTACGCAAGGCCGTCACGCAGTTGAAGCAAGCCCGCTTCAAGTGGGAGAGCCACAAATGGAGGAAGTGTCGGAGCCAACACAGGCAGCCGAGGCCTTCGAGAGTCACGAACGGCAGATTGTTTCTCTGCAAGATGCAGTCCCTGCCCCTGCTCCACAGCCCATTTGCTTGTCTCAGGCTTTGGAGCCAAGACAAGCTGTAACTTCCGCGGGGCCGAGAGAACAATTTGTCCGTCGCCCGAAGAGCGACCAGGAAATCCGAGAATGGGGGCTTGGCGAGCTACGGGCGGTGCTTGGCCTGGAGGGTGATGCGTTGGGTTGCTTCCGTTCTCCCTGTGGTATGGCTGTGGACAGCTCACGCCTCTATGTAGCAGACACATTGAACCATCGGATTCAGATCTTTGACAAAGTCACTCTGGAGGCACTGGGTGTTCTACGGCTGCCTAGCTCAGGAGACGGTCCATCCAGCCTGAGCGACCCCAGTGGGATGTGCTGTGTAGAAGTGAAGGGCATGACCATTCTTGTGGTGGTCGAGTATACCCTTGACCGAGTGCTCCGAATTGAGTTAGGGCAATTGCCTCAAGCAGCAGCTGTCCGAGAGCTGGCACCGGGCACTTTCTACGGCCCGTTTGGAGCAGGAATCTCGCAGGGCCGCGTTGTCATCGCCGACAGTTGCAATCACCGCTGCCTGGTTCTGACGCTCAACGGCCAAGTCCTCTTCGAGTTCGGAACTCGTGGCCAGGGCAGAGGCCAGTTCGATTACCCCGAGTGCCTGGCCGCTTTCGCCGATGGTCACGTGGCTGTGAGTGACAAGGACAACCACCGCATCCAAGTCTTCGATGGAAACGGCAGCTTTCAGCATCTGATTCCCCGAGACTGGGCGCCCGAGTCCGAGGGCCATCTCGGGCCCGGGCGACTCCGTGCCGGAGTCTTACGGGGACCCATGGGAATGTGTGTCGATGCGCGCGACCGCCTCTTCGTGTGCGACTGCGGCAGCGACCGAGTGCAGATCTTCAGCCGTCAAGGGGACTTTCTGTGGAGCTCCTGTTCTGCGACATGGATTTTCCGGTCGCCGACTGCCATGGCGGCAGACGAGCACAGCCTCTACGTGGCTTCGGACCATTGTGTACAGATCTTCTGAGCAAGACAATAGACGAGCAGAAACCTACCCAAGAGAATTGACTAAAGAAGCTGCATGTTGGGGGCATTCTGTTGGTTTTTTGCACCCAGCCTCCTGGCTTTTGCCTCGGCTTTCGCTGATCCCTTTTTGGCTTTCTAGCTGCTTGGCTTTGGACCGTGCTGTTCGGGCTCGGCTTCTCTCTTCTTAGTCATAGTCTATTGCTGGTTTCCGGCTTTTGGGTTTGGCTTTCAGATTCATCGGAGTGATAACTAGTTGCTTATTGTTTCTGCGGTGGCTACTCTTATGCTGACTCCCATCCTGCTGTCTGGGTTTTGGGTCTTTCGTCCTTACTACGGCTTCCGTGTAGTGCGGCCGAAGGAAGGACACCCCCATGTATGCATTCTAGGCACCGAATATTGTTCTATTCAGAAACCGAACTACGCTTCCGGTGAATACACGTTTTGGCGGTTCCCAACACCTTCAAGATTGCAACTTGCTGCGAGCGGTGTGTTCTAGTTGAACCTCGCCAAACGATGTAAAACCATGGGTTTCGGCAATACCGAACGTCGGAAAATGCCTAGAGCTCATGCACGAAGCAACGCAGGCCCAAACACAAAGCACGAAACCCCAATGACCCCAGAATCCCACGGCTGCTGTTCTCGCTACAAGATCCCCAGCATCAATCAACACCGATCTCGACGCTTTCAGCATCAGGTGATCCTGGAGTATGTTGGGCATGTGTGTTTCATGGCCGGGACATTGAAGGACTGCACCCGTGTTCGTAGTCTTACGGATTCGGTGACTTCTTTTTTCGGTCGGGCCTGTTCTAAGTAGTTTCAGGTTGCATCTGGAAATCTGAACCATCACCTCAAACCTGCAAATTCGCCCACTGATTGCATGTTGGTTGCAGGCTTCGGCACTAAGTCTGTCAAACCCCGGGCACGATTCAGATCACGCGCATGCGGGGTAAAGCTGCACCCTTTTACTTGCACTGCTCCGACGACGACGGCATCCGAGACGACGAGGACGAGACGCCAACGACACCGATGACGAGCACCGAAACTAGTAGTACTTTTAGTCTAGTAGTGGTTTTAGCGGCAGAAGTAGAAGGAGAAGAAGAAGAAGTATTACTACTACTATGACTACTACTACTACTACTACTACTACTACTACTACTACGACTACTACGACTACTACGACTACGACGACTTCGACGACGACTACGACCACGACTACGACGACGACGACGACGACGACTACTGCTACCACTCCTACTACTACTCCTACTACTGCTACTGCTACTGCTGCCGCTACTGCTACTGATACTGCTACTGCTGCCGCGGCTGCCGCTGCTACTTCTACTGCTACTGCTACTGCTGCTGTTACTACTACTAGTACTAGTACTGACTGACTGCTTTTTTGACACCTGCTGTTTTCTACTTGCTACGTGTTCCTTGAAACTCCCTACTTATTGACTACCTGACTGAGAGGGTTGATCTAAGCCCCCTGCTCTTGACTGATTGCTGCAAATGCGATTTGGTCATATGCCATCATTGAAAAACCCAAAAACGCGCAAGCGCGGGCGCAAGAGCACGCCGGACGGGAATATGCAGTTTTTGTAGTGCGTGCAAGAAATGCGAAATACCTCGGCAGAGGTGGGCGCAAGGGGGTATCAAATGGTCACTCATCGCTACTTGCTACATGCTTCCTGTCGAAGGAGCGAAGGCGTGTCAAGCAGTTTATTGACTGGCTGCTGGCCCAGCGCCGGGTGCTCAGCTTCTACGGACGACCGCTTTATGCTTTTCCAGAAGCGAAAAGGCTGTCTGCAGACATAATCAGTAGGGGTGCAGGCGGCACCTTGGCATTGAAATTGAGAATCTATTGCTTTGGGATCTGGGCGGGAGAGATAGAACCATGAGACCGGGCTGTGCTCGAGGCCGTGGAAGTGTCACGGTGAAGGATGTGTCAGACCGAGACGTCCGCGGCCTGAACCATCATAGTTGCATGGTGTCGGTCGTGTGATTTGTCTGCGTTTCGTGGATGTGTCATGGTGGCAGGATGCGATCTCTCAGATTTACACTGATGCTGTTGACCAGGACTGCACCGAGATGCATATCCCGGACAACTGCAAGGGCTGGGTCACTGGGTCCGGGCCTGGGGTAGAAATGCAGGCTGTAGCGCTAAAACATGCTGACGAGAGCAGGCGCGGTCAAGCAGCAGCGAAGTTTGTGCGCTTTGCTTCGCTGCCCAGCCATCTCGGCTTCGGCACATGGTCGGCAGCGGAGAGGATAGCGTGACAGGTAGTGAGTAGTGACGCGTAGCGCGGTGAGGGATCGGCTGCCGAGCCATGGCTGCTACTTGGTTGCAATGCTAGGTTTTGGTAGAGGGACCTAGGAAGACTGAGAGGCCGAGAGAACCTGGAATTTCACTGAACGGGACCTGCACGGAAGAGCTCTGTTTAACAAAATCTTGCATCTCAGGAGACATATGAAGTCTTCGGACAGATGAAGATGGGCCCGTGCCAAGCCCCTCCCCAGGAGTTGGAGGGCAAGACAGCGAGAATCAAATGTGCTGATGCAGAAGTCTTGGAAGTACCGGCAGAGGCCCTCGCCTTGTCCTTCAGAGCGAAGAAGGATCTCCTTGAGAAAGGCTGTGATCAAGACTTCGAGGTCCCGCAACTGGGCTGCACTGGGCTGCATGTGACTGCGAAGTTTTCAGGGACAATCTCGAATCCCATTGGTGTAAATTGTAAATCTCAGGCTTGGGAAGGGCGTGGTGGTGAAGCTTATGGAGTATTTGAAGCATCACACCACCAACGAGTACAGTGAGATCCGGACACCACTTGCCAGTGATCACCTAGTAGACTGCGGCGCTTCGCGCTGGGATGCGAGCTTTGCCAACGTGGACAAGGAGATGCTCTTTGACCTGACCGTTGCGGCCAGCTATCTTGACATCCCGGGCCTTTGGTTCCTCCTTAGTGCCAAGGCGGCTTTGATGACAACCAACAAGAGTGCAGACAAGCTCCGGAAGGAATTCATGTTGACGAATGATTTTCCTGCAGCGGAAGAGAATGACCTTAGACGCAAGTCTGCTGCGGACATGTCCAGGTTGGCCGCATCCTCTGTCATCCGGAACGGTGTGAAAGCGGCAGAGTACAAGGCTGGCATCAAGCAGATTGAAGATGGCACATCGGCACCATCTGCGGTTGTGAATACGTCTAGCTGGAGACAAGCCATGTGGCGAGCCGCCGTGTTAGATGATTGGAAGCTCTTGGAACATGCTCCGGAGCCAGTGAAGAATGACCGAGACCTGGTGAAGAGTGCGATCTTAACAAGTCAAGGAGCGGCTTTGAAGCTTGCTTCCTCGGAGATGCGGGCAGACGAAGCGCTAGTGCTCGAGGCCACGAAGTACTTCAGCACCGCCTTTGCGCATGCTGATCCGGAGCTGCGAAACAACAAGGATTTCCTTTTGAAGGCTTTGGGCGTCCATGGTGGTGCCATGACCGGAGCTCCCGATGCCTTGCGGAGGGACAAGTCCTTCATGCTAGAGGCTGCTAAGGTTGGTAAGGGTAACGCCCTACAGGGGGCCACCATGGATTTGAGAGACGACCGCAACTTGATCCTCGAGATGGCCGTGCACGATGCAGAGGCTTACAAGCATGCATCAGAGGACTTGCTCAATGACAAGGACTTTGCAGTCGCAGTGGCCAAGCGCAATGGCAAGGCACTAAAGTTTATGATCCCTGCTTTCCGAGCAGACCCAGATGTGGTGCGGGCCGCCATCGCCAGAGATCCGCAAGCCGCGCAGTATGCTCATGCATCGAGACGTTCGGAGTTAGGCATGATCCAAGAGGGCGTGCTTGGAGAAGTGCAAATGCAAGCAGAGCTAGAAAGCCAGTTGAAGGCGGCACAAGAAGAGGCTGCCGCGACCCTGACGCTCGCCACCGTGGCTCCTCCTCGGCAGGTGCCTTACCAAGCTCTTCCGGAAAGGCCGAAGTACACATGTATGAGGCTTCAAAAGATGGTTGACTTTACTGCACAGAGTGTGATGACAGCGAACATGGGGCAGTCAAACTACATCGCTGCTAATTCATACTTAGACAGGATGCCTGGTCTTCGACGCCCCGAAATTGATGCCGTTGGCCTCATGTGGGGTGCAGTCGGGGGCATCGGAATGCGCTGGAAAGCCTTTGCCTCGGAGGATTTCCTGAATGCTACGCCGGAGCTGTTGCTAACCATCGAGGACTCCTGCAAGGTCTTGTGGGTTGCGGCGTGCACCCTCTTCCCGCCCGAATGGTTCAATGCATCCCACATGGCCGACCAGCGGCCGTACTTCCTGACAAAGACCGCGGGTACTATACCATTGGACATCTCGACCGACTCGGCAGCAGCCCAGGTCCAAGATGTAGAGGCAGACAGACGAGCCCTCCAGGACTTGACCGAGGTAGACCGACGTCCACTCCCTGGAAACAACTCAGCCCCTTTGGGAGGCTGGCCCAACCTCGTGTCGGCACACGAAGGTGCCAAAATCAGACTCACGGGGCTGCGTGCCAAGAACGGCATGACCGGCACACTGCTCCAGCGCTGCGACAATGGCGCTTGGAAGGTGCAGCTGGACGATGGCTCGAACAATGCTTTGCTAAGACCAAACAACTTCGAAGTGATCGAAGCTGCCAAGGTGGAGGCCACGCAGAAGTTTCAAAGGCACTTCCCAGAGACGCAGGAGATACAGGCCTACAACGCAGCAGCAGCGGCTGAGCGACAATGCAAGATCGAGGAGAAGCGGTCCAAGCTGAAGGAGAAGATCGCAGCAAAGCGCCAGGCCATTCTCGCCTCGGCCGTGCAAGCGGCCTGAACCTTCGCCGTTGCATCTGAGTAGCTGGGCACAAGGCAGAGAGGCTGCCTGCTTCCTGCACCGACCCTTGAGGGGTCCCACTGCTGCAAGGAACAGCTGACATAGGTTCTTCCACCCAGGACTGAGCTCAGAAGTTCAGCTGCCAAAACAGGGGTCCGATCCAGCTCGCACAAGGCCCAACGGAGTCGGACAAGGTGAACATGTCACTAAGCCCATGTCACATTTGCGTGGATGCAGGCGCATTCCATTTTTGTATGCGCATGCTAGCCATCTTGGCTTTGGCCCATGATCCGGGGTCAGGTGCACTATTTCAGTCAAAACTAGGACCAGATTCTCTGGTGACAGCCATGGCCGAATCTTGACGTTGATTGAGCACGACCCCGTTCAAATAGTATGTACACCGTGTGTAAGTCTGAACATGTGGTCGGAGCGACGAGAGATCAGCAGAATCAATGCCAGTTTGTGACAGTCCACGTGCCGACGCACTAAGGAAACGTATGAAATCTTTGGGCAGATGAAGATGGGCCCGGGCACAGCATGCCCGGTGGAGCTCATGGGCAAGAAAGCAAAGCTGAAGTGCACTGAAGGCGATGTCTTCGAGCTACCGGCCGACGCAGTCGCTTTGGCATACAGGGCAAGGACCGATCTCCTTGACAAAGGCTGCGATGCAGAGCTTCAGTACCCGCACCTTTGCTGCAGTAAGTCACCTGCCAAGTTGTGACTGCTACATTACATTCATGCATTGGCAGAGAGACTCATAATAGAGTCGACCTGAGGATCAAAAAGGCTGTCATGCTCAAGCTGGTGGAGTATCTCAAGCATCACAGAGAACACGCATGCAGTGAGATTCGGACTCCGCTCGTCAGCGACAACTTGGCCGAATGTGGTGCTACACGCTGGGATGCGAGCTTCGTGAATATGGACAAGGAGATGCTGTTTGATCTGACAGTTGCAGCCAGCTACCTGGACATCCCAGGTCTTTGGTTTCTCCTTAGCGCAAAGGCTGCGATCATCACCAATAAGAAAAGTGCAGACAAGCTCCGCAAGGAGTTCAGCATGGCGAACGACTTGCCGGCGGCAGAAGAGGCTGAGCTCAAGGGTGCCTATGCAGCATCTTTTCGCCTGGAGGGTGACGTGGATCTCTCCCAGCTGGCAGCGTCATCCGTCATCCGAAGTGGTGTGAAGGCAGCAGAGTACAAGGCTGGCATCAAGCAGCTAGAAGATGGCTTGGAGCCGCCATCCTCTGCAATCTCCAACTTGTCTAGTTGGCGACATGCCTTGTGGCGAGCCGCCGTGCTAGATGACTGGAAGCTCTTGCAAAACGCACCAGAGCAGGTGAAAAATGATCGAGACCTGGTGAAGAGTGCGATCTTAACAAGTCAAGGAGCGGCTTTGAAGCTTGCTTCTCCGGAGATGCGGGCAGACGAAGCGCTAGTGCTCGAGGCCACGAAGTACTTCGGCACTGCCTTTGCAGATGCAGCTCCGGAGCTGCGAAACAACAAGGATTTCCTTTTGAAGGCTGTTGGAGTCCATGGTGGTGCCATGACAGGAGCACCCGATGCCGTGCGAAATGACAAGTCCTTCATGCTGGGTGCCGCAAAGGCTGGCAAGGGTGCTGCGCTGCAGGGGGCCACCATGGCTCTGAGAGACGACCGCAACTTGATCCTCGAGATGGCCGTGCACGATGCAGAGGCTTACAAGTATGCATCAGAGGACTTGCTGAACGACAAGGACTTTGCAGTCGCCGTGGCCAAGCGCAATGGCAAGGCACTGAAGTTTATGATCCCTGCTTTCCGAGCAGACCCAGACGTGGTGCGGGCTGCCATCACCAGAGATCCGCAGGCCGCGCAGTATGCTCATGCGTCCAGGCGAGCAGAGCTGGGTATGATCCAGGATAGCATGCATGGGGAAGTCCAGCTGCAAGCGGAGCTGGAAAGCCAGAAGAAAGCAGCGCAGGAGGAGGCAGCATCGACCTTGGCGCTTGCCACGACGGCTGGCCCCCGTCAGGTTCCCATGCAAGCTCTTCCATCCAGACCCACATACACATGCATGAAGCTCCAGAAGACAGTGCAGTTCACGGCAATGAGTACAATGACAGCGAACATGGGCCAGTCCAATTACATTGCAGCGAACAGTTACTTGGACAAGATTCCAGGGATGCAAAGGCCGGAAGTCGACGCGGTTGGCCTCATGTGGGGTGCAGTCGGAGGCATCGGAATGCGCTGGAAGGCTTTTGCCTCGGAGGACATGCTGAATGCTACTCCAGAGCTGTTGCTCACCATTCCCGACTCGTGCAAGGTGCTGTGCGCAGCATGTTGTACCATCAACCCGCCAGAGTGGTTCTCGGCGTCCCACTTCGACAAGTTCAGCCGAGAGATGTACCTGTCCCCCAGTGCAGGCCAGATCAAGCTCGAAGAACTGACAACTGAAGTAGCTGCCCAGGCACACTGGGAGAAGCATCTTGAAGATGACCGCAAAGCTCTACAGGACATGGCTAGTGTCGACCGCCGCCCTGTTCCAGACAACTTTGCCTTGATCAAGGCTCCCGCCCAGCCCGCTCTGGCAAATGCGCCACTGGGGGGATGGCCCAGCCTTGTGTCCAGTCCGCCATCCAGCGGCGGCAGCGTGCCCCTGCAGAAAGGCACCAGGGTGCGCCTTACAGGCCTTCGTGCGAAGAATGGTGTATGTGGGACTTTGGTGCAGCAGTACGGCGATGGCAAGTGGAAAGTGAAGCTAGATGACGGCTCGGGCAATGCCTTGCTACGCCCAGGCTTCTTCGAGCCATTCCTCGCATGAGATGACCAAGTGAGCCGATCTAGGAAGCTACACATCTTCCTTTGTAGAAATTCTCACATGGAACATTGGACTGCGCAGCGGAGGGCAGCAAAAGCAACAGCGAACTAGAACTTCAAATGACCAACTGGCAGAGTGGGTTGAGGTTTCTCAACACATTAGAGGTGGTATGCTTGCCAGACTCAGGAACCGCGGGAGCGAGTTGCGTCGAGTGGAACAGGAGACTGGAACGCCTCGCGACTGCAAGTGCGGAGCAGCGAACAACACGGCACAGTCCCCTGGTCCCCTGATTCTGAGGTTTATGTTCATGGCCCTGGATTCCAGGGGCGAGGCGCATCTTGTATGATGCAGAATACATGGGAATGGGACAACCAGTTTGCAACTTCTCGGAAAATAATAATTAACCTAAAAAGCTTCGATCCTTGTCTTGGTCCCAGGAGCGCCTGCTGATTTTTGGAGCCAACGCAGGTGCGGGCGGGTGGGTATTCTTGCCGGAGGGTATGCTGACTTGTGAGAGCCTCTGTCCGAAGACATGTCGCAACCTCAACAACCAGTCTAGCCGAGTCTAGCCCAAGAACATCCCCGTACACTTCGAACCCCCCTTGTCAGGAAGCAAAGTCGAGAACGGCGGCCGGATGCATGCCGAACGCTTGGTCAACGACTTGGTGCAGGAGTTTCCCGCAGTCCGTCGCTTGAGTACGTGCGGTTAATAGACGAGTGCGGAGGAAGAGTCAGAAGAGACTGCCTGAGTTGTTTTTGCAAACTTGGGTCCTTTGGGAGGAGAAGCTGCGCAACGACGAGCGTAGCTGGGCAGCAAAAAGCCCGAACCGAACCCTGCAGGCCCTGCAGCCTCATTACATCCTAAAGGCCACAGATGAGTGGCCATCAGCCTGTAGGTGATTCTCAAACATTTTGGCACGAACGGAAAGGCAATCACTCTCCAGGACTCCAGTGTTGCTCTGAACCGTTGTGGCACAGCAACGTGAACTGGCAGGTTTGGGGTGGGTTCTGATTGCAGTGTGCATTCCAGGTCGTGGTGGGCGAGATAGCCGCAGCCGCAGTCGCAGGCAGACTACGGAAGTCGGAGAAGAAGTGCAAAGAACCTCCGTCCTCTTTGACAGAGTGCGTGCGTGAAGATCCCCCGAGATCGTCAGACAGTTTCGACTCGTTTCAGCAGAATGCAAGCCAGCTTGTAATGGCGCACACCGGAGTGTATGTAGCCCTCAGCAGCAGGTCGTCCAGACGCAGGCGTCCGGCTGTTGCAATGCCTCTGGCTGCATGCATGAATGGGGAGGGAGAGCGAAATCCCGCTTAGATCAACAGGTGGATCTATGTAAGGCCTTGATATGTCAGGTACCGAAGCAGCTGACAGAGAGAGCTACCGGCTGTGCTTTGGCGTGGCCCGCTTGTGGCAAACTCGTGAGGGTGCATTCTGTTCACCGAGCCCTTGGGAAAACTCAAGGAACTCAGCCGCCAGCCCTTAGAGCCCTTACCACATCTTTTGCGGCTGGTGACCGGTGCTCCGGCCTTCTGCCATGGCCTCCGCGTCCGAGCACTCCAAGCACATGTTCGAGTGCTTGACTCCTGTCTGCACCACGCCGCACACCAAGCGCACGGCTGTTTGAGCACTCGATGCCAAGCTCATGGTTGCTCAGGGCTGTGGCGAGGGCCGAGGGCCTTTTGACATGTCTCTACGCCACAGCCTTGTCCAGAATCACCGGTTTGTTAGCATCGTGCAGGCACCAACTTGTGAATTGCATCTTCGCAGGCAAGGGTGAACTGGCGAACTCTCTAGGGTTCAGCTTCGGAGATGATGGCACCAGCTGCAGCCGAGGAGACATGGGCAACTTGAATCCGTGCGCCGAGCATCAAAGAAATTCAACTTCCGGGAGGCCGGAGCCGAGCGAGCCGAGCGAGCCAAGAAGCAAGCGGCTGTTGCAAGAACCGGAAAGCAAGAAGCGCGCATTCTGCAACAGGCGGAGTAAAATAGGCGTCATAGGCACAGAGAAGTGGCTCAAAGCTCTGTGCAGCTGATGAACGCGACTGAAATACGGGCCGATCGACACGCATTAAGAGAGAGAGGGGGAGGGACAGAGAAAACCGAACTTTGCCAGATTCCCAGTCGGTGCATGAGTTCACCCTAACTGGAGTAACAGGAGCTGTGTGAGCAGGTCGGAGATTACGGGACCCCTCTCATGGCGCTCCTGGCAGAGAACATTTGGCTCCCTGATGAGTTGGGCGAGGTAGGTCATCATGAGATGTGATGTAATTGCAGTGCGGAGCTGCAGAGCTCGGGAGTTGCTTCTGATAGACTCAGAGATGGAGAGTGAGGACGCAGTACTCGCACAGCGTATGTGCCGGAAGGCTAGAAGGTCACGGCAGTTGGCTCAAAATTTAGTAGACAACAAACGCCACAACCTGAGAACGGGGGGGGGGGGCTTGGCCCGGATTCGGCTAACGTCGCGAGGTAAGGTAGAGAGAGAGAGAGAGATCGCATGGAGCGATGGCTTGGCATTTCTTTGGTCATTCAGCGGCTGGGTCCGGGAAGACAGGTGATGACCCCCATTCCGGCCAATTTGCCGGCTTGATGTCAGGTGAACTTCCAGCAACGAGTCGCGGCTGCAGATTTCTGCATGTCAAAGGGCGCGGTGCCCGTGGCCGCAACGAGAAGCGAAGGGATTTTACTTGTTGACATTACTCCGCAACAGGTTGGATAAGTCACACTAGTTCGCTTCCGGCCGGCATCTGTGAGTAGGGAATTCGGGCGTGTCGTGGACCTTCGCAGCAGAATCCTTGCTGGCAGGACCCCATGCAGCACGTTCCTTTGAACTGTCCCCACTGCCTGACGTTCGGCGAACGGAGTGTTCCCTTCGCCTGCAACTCTGCCCGCTCCATTGTGAGCACTCTGCAAGCAATCTGGCAGAGCTTCTCTTGCACTCAGCAGCTGTTTTCGGAAGTTTGTTCTCCTTTCGAGACCAGGACATGACGGGAATAGACAGGTGACAGGTGTGCGAAGTTTGCCCAATCGCAGGAGCATGGTGCCTCAAATCCTTATGGGGGCAGAGACGGAAGAGGATGCGCAGGTGCTTATCCAAGAGATGACGACCACGGGAGACCGTCTGCGGACTTTCGATCAGCTCTTCAGGGTGCCATCTCCGAGGGGTAACCCCCAGCTGCCGGTGGCATCTGGTCAACGGGGATTTTTCAGCAGGCTCTGGAGCGAGATCTTGAAGGATTACTCCACGGCCGATGTAGAAATTCTTGCAGTAACTGATGACGGGCTGAGTCTGAGACCAGATTTCAAGTCGCATTGCCACTCCTTCGTCCTCTGCAAGGCTTCACCCGTCTTTGCGTGCCTGCTTCGGGGAGATCCCTCGAGCCCCAAGCGCCTTGAGTTGGCCGCCACGGGCGCAGCGATCAAGGCCTTCCTGCACTTGATCTACACAGGCGCACTTGATGCACTTGATGGCGAGAGGCTAGTAGCCGGGCACTAGGCCTAGGCAAAAGAAGCCAACAAAAAGAAAGTCGTGGTCAAACGTAATTAGGAAAATCGAGGGCTCTCGTGTCATTCTTCTGAGGCAGCTTCGAGGGCTCGACTTGGCCGGAGGTTCCCTTGCTCGTCTCCGTGGCGCGCTTGGCCGCGGAGTCGCAGACCTGGTTCGTTCTGCCGGCCCTGGTGCAGCATATGCGCTGCAACCTCTCGGAGTTTACCTTCTGCCCCATCTGCAACTTGATTCAACCTTGTCTAGGGTGAATGTCATTCGTGTGCGCGGAGGGGACGAGCTAAGGCAAGTTTGCCATAGACTTCCGGCAGGACAGCTTGCTGAGTGCCTGCCAGCACTTTGTCAGAACCTACGAGTCCAGGGTCCCTCAGAGCGAGTGGGTATCCTGGTCATCCTACTTGTCGGACCATGCGACGCAAGATGTGCAACAGTTGGTCTACCAGGCCTTGCAGCTTGGTGGCCACCGCAAAAGTCGTGCGACTTTGTAGGTGTTTGATCAGAGAGCAGACGTACTCTGTTCTGCCTCGTGCTCACCGGACCGATCGCGGCCCAAAGTCGGCCAGCTTGCGACTTTGGAGAAAAGTCGCCCGGACATGAGTGCATATGAGTGCGAAATTGCTCTCTCACCGAGTTCTGATCGACAGGTCGCCCTCCCGGCGACGGGACAGCCGCAGCAGGCTGCAACACCCCCCCTCCCAAGTTGCTCACGCATCCAATGATGTGCCGGGGATGCTAGGGCTACGTTGCGAGTATTCGTTTCATATCCATCTTCATATGGTCTTGAAAAAATGTGTTGCTGCAGGAGTCGTCGTCGATGAAGCCAGCTCCTTGGACTCGGATGAATCAGACCGGCTGCCGTTTGCCTCGCATGTCCGGGCGCTTGGCATAGCACATGGCTCAATGCACGTATCTTCACTTGGCTCTCCGTTCCACGCCTGCAGCCGTCTGTTGGCTCGAATGTTAGCAGGCAGCCTTGCAGATGTCCCTTGTCTGAAGCAGATTTTTTCCCTTGTGAGTTGAACTGCAGATGCCGACGCCTAAGCCTGTCGCCAGGTCCGGTTTCGATTATGCAAAATGGGACCGTTTAGAAATCAGTGACGATGAGGCTGGCATCTGTCTGTCGGCAGCTGGAGTCGTCGTGCCTGCACCTGGCCAGACTACGTTCCACCCCAATCTGGACAAGGGCCTGAACATTCGCGTGAACCGCATCACGCGCGAAAGGAAGGAAGATGAGATCGATGAGGATTCTCTGTCGCAAGTGGGATCTATTGAACCTATTGAGCGAGGGTGAGAGAGAGAGAGAGAGAGAGAGAGAGAGCTTGTCACTCCCCGTAGCCCAACAAGACGTTGGGTGGGTGCCCGGGGACGCTGACCCGTCCCTACGCCCGGAGGAGAGAGAGAGAGAGAGAGAGAAACAAAGAGAGAAAGAAAGAGAGAGAGAGGGTGTCACGGTCGCCTAGTGCTGGCTGCAGAGCAAGAGGTTCAGAGACGGTGTGGGAAATCAACGGAAGTGTCGCGCGAGGCTTCAGTTCGGGATGAGGTGGGGAGGCAGGCAAGGTGGGGATTGAACCCGAGATTTTGCCATGCCGAAAGAGTGGAGCTTGATCGGTGTGCCGCAGCAAAGATCGAGCACTGTCGTTAATTACTTAGCGATGGTTGTGTGTTCAAGGGGGTTTCTTTCGGGGGATTCGGTCTCTGCAAAGGCATGTAAACTCCCTACCAGAAAAGAGAAGCAACCGGCACGAACAAGTTGCTACTGTATTCCCTGTTACGTAGCCTTTGTTGCCGTACGCTGTGTGTTGTACCGTTGGTTTAAAATGCCAGCTCTCCTGTAGTTGTTTCTGGAAGACTCTTGGATGACCCTGGTGTTGCTCATGGTCTTAGCATGGGTGTTCCTTCGGGTCGGGGCTCACAAGCACGAAAGGGGCCTGGCAGACTCACCGACGCGGACCGAGTGGGGTAGGCCTTCGGGCCAGAGGACTCAGTCCCCATACGCCTGGCAAGCAAGCAAGCAAGCAAGGGGTTTCCGCTGCAGCATGGCCCTGGCGAAAGAAAGAGAGAG